GCGTCTGGGGAGGGTCTGGTTGGAGCAGGGGAGTCACGAAGTCCGAGTTGGACAGTGCGAAAGACCTTGTGTGTCCAAGTGGAGAAGTCGCACAGGTAGCCGCACCTACAAGTCTGAAGCTCAGCAAAGTTTAGAGTTGGAGACGCCCACGGGGTCACCTTCAGGGGGTCACCTTCAGCCTATTAAAGCAATGGGCGTGCATGAGGCCTCTGGGGGAGAAGAATTGTAAGGTCTGAGCGTGGGGCCCCCGTGTTTAGAAGTAGAGCCAAGGAGGAGACGGTGGCAGAGCAGATGGAGAAGAGTCGCTGGTGAGGTAGGAGGAAAGCGAGCAGCAGAGCGGTCGGTTGTGTCAAGTGCTGGGGGGCCAGGTCAGGCGGGAGAGCACGAACACTGGATTCGGCACGTGACTGTCACTGGTGTCCCCGCGCCATTCCAGAGGGAGCGAGTTGACAAAAGGCCAGGAGGTGAGTGGCAGGGCTCATTATTCTGCCTGGCACAAACGATATACGAGCATATTCATCACAACGTTTAGAACGGTGATGAGCTGGAAATGCAAGTGCTACAATATATTCAAATTATAGTACGTACGGATGTACTAGGAATACGAGGAAGCCTCGAATGACACAGGCAGCGAAGGAGTAGGGTAAAAAGAAAATGAAATCAATCCCACATCGCCGCCCACTGCCCCATATTCCGTAGGGGCAGTGGATGGTGATGTGGGATTGAATTCATTTTCTTTTTTGTATATTTTTTGTATTGTCTATTATCACCCCACCCCCCCCCAAAAACTTTTAATTAAATCTTAAGGGAAAGTATATTTTATTTAACAATGGGGAGAAGTATGTTAAAAACAAATGCTAAAGTCCTAATAAAATTTTCCTCATGCTATAACAGGACATCATTTAAAGGCAAAGGCAAAGTGAAACTTTCACTTAAGCATTCCCTAATAAAAATCCTATAAAACGAGGTATGTAGTAATTACCTGGGCTAGGATTAAACACACATAAGAATGTCTTTAAATACCCACATAGCCAACGTACAAAATGCAAGGTGGTATATTTACAATCAAAATGCTGGACAAGCAGTGTTAAAGCCACTTTTAAAATACAACTTAATTAAAAAGCATATAATATTTATGCAAACTCAAATGAACATTTCAAAATAGTTATTTCAGTGTGACCCAGACATTTCAACAATTTGGTGCTCATACTGGAATGCAGAGAAGATGTCAGTGAAATAGAATGTACATTTTATGTATGTAGAATGTATGTAGTATTTATAAAGGAAAACTCTAGAAACAAAAAATCTCTACCCAGTGTCATTTCATCTGGTTAATCATATGTTTATTCATTCACCATAGATGCAGAACTTATTTAAAACCTTTTAAAAATTGGAGGAACAGACCAAGCACTGTGACCTCAGAATTAGATTGGCTACCACCCTGGAGTGAAAAAGGACCGCGCAGTCTGGAATTCAGTATTAAAAGCAATTCCCGCCAGGAAAGCAGGGAGCAGTACCGGGTTAGGCCAGCTGCCCATCCATCGTCTAGTCTAGATCCACAGAGCTTCTGAAGAGAAACCAACCACTTGTTTGCTTTCCACATGATGTATTATTGAATTGTACACTTGAAACCCATATAATTTCATTAACCAAAGTCGCCCCAATCAATTTAATTAAAAAGAAATCATTAAGTCAGAGTAATGCGTCAAAATCCGGAATTGTTTCTGTATTAGTTGAGGTAGGCTAGGTTATGCTACAATAACAAATTGATCCCCAAACAGGCCCAGACGACACGCCGAGACAACTGTCCTCTGATGTCACTCAGCAATCCAGGCCACTTTGTCCTCGTGACTGCCACTTCCACACGGGGTCTCCGTGTTTTTCACTACAGAAGGAAGTACCTGGAGGACTCGGCCCACTCTTCCGTGCTCCGCCCCAGCAGTGAGGTAGGCCCGTCACTTCCGCTCACAGCCCGCTGGCAACAACTCGCCAGGTGGGCAGGGAGGCTTTCACGTGTCAGAAAAGAGGAGAGCCCGATATGGCCGAGCACTACTTGTGTTTAACCACACTCAAACTGGTGAAGGTTTCTCTATTCCTCCTCTACTCGGAGAGGTGTTGGTGCAAACCCCAGGGCACCTCGCAGGACCTGGGCCTCCCCCTGGGAGAAAAGACCTAGAGAGCCAGTCTGACTTAAAAACCTGCTGTCTGGGCTGTGCCTCTGGAGTTCCTCAAAATCGAGGGCTGATTTCCTGTGGTACCTGGTATGCACCCTCTACTGGAGGAACTAGAAGCATGCCACAGCGACGGGTTCATGACCCAGCCTGGCTTAGCAAACCCAGTGTTCACTCCCTGTGTTGCCTTTCAGAAAAATAAAATTTAAGATCGCAGGCACAAATACTCGTCAACTGCCGAACAGCTAGCTATTCAAAAGCAGTTGGCCAGAAACTAGTACGCCTGAAACCCAGGTAGCCATGAAAGGGGTCATTGCTGGATTAATTCCGAAGCAGAACTTTGAAATATAGGTAGTGGTTATATTGGAAGTAAAGTGGTGGCCTCCTGATGGAAAGTGAAATTCTAATCTAGTTCTTTTGGGGGAGGAGGTAAAAGCCAAAGCAGTCTTGAAGCTCGTGGTTTCACTCACTGGCTGAGACGAGAAGGATGTTCAAAACAACTGTGGGACATCGTGCTAGCTGTTGAATGTGAGATAGTCTCCAGGGCCTGGGGAAGCTGGATGCTACAGGAGGCAGTAGACAGGCAGGTGCGAGAAAAATCGAGACTAGGCCAGTGTGATGGCAGAAAATGGATTTGAAAGGCAGGTTGAGAAATGTTTCCGAGAACGAGGGCTGTCAGAACCAGGCGGAGGGAGCTGGGCCGTGTGGGAAGTGGCCACGCTCCTGGAAGTCAACACCAGATGTCTTTTCTGCCACCCAACCAGAAATTTTGCTTAAAAACGACTCTGGAGTTATGCCCACAGCAACCACTGTCCCGTCTCTTCTTCTTCCTCTCACTGGGTTCTCTCCTTCACCTCTGAACCTTCAAATGTCTTACACAAGACCGACTTTTATATCTATTGCGGGCTCTTTCTTTGCTTTTTAAGTGGGGATACCTTTATTGTTTGTTCCGTCGTCGTAGAAAATATGGATGGCCAAAAGGAAAAAATGAAAATCACTATAATCCTACCACCCACTGAGAAGCGCTTAACATTTTGGTACGTTTCCTTCCAGACATGTGTGTATGTGTGTATTTTCACAGAAACAGGATATACACACGATTATGGAATTGCTTTCTTCACTTAATATTCTGTGAAAAGCCAGACATTTCTGAATGCCTATTAGACATTTTACTGGCATTTCACAATGTGTCAACACCAAGCTCATCACTTTTAATCTGTCCCTAACCAAAACCTATGCCTGAGTTTGTTCATTTACCACTTATTCATTCAACATCTTCATGCCCACAGTAGGGGCCTATGTACTTGACAGTTAATAAGTCAGCCCAGACACTCTGTTTTCCTAACTCTCTTTACTTTTAATTGGTCACTAAATCATGCAATTTCAACAAATATATATTTCATGTATCCGTACATACCTTGTATGTAGCCTGTGCCCTCATGTTTGCTCATTCAATAAAACCGGGCATCTGTTATGTACCAGACGTTGATTTTTTGCTCTGGGCTACAAAAGTGGGCAAGGTGGGCGTGGTCCCTTCTGCCATGGGGCTAACGTTCTAGGGGAGGAAATGACCAATGCATCGATATACCCCGAATCCTAATGACTTAACACCACAGCCTTTATTATCTCACAGTTCCTATGGGGCAGGAATCAGGACAGACCTGAGAGAGAGGGAGGGAGGAAGGGAGAGAGACAGAGAGAGGAGAGGAGAGAAAATGAGACTCAGTCTTGAGAAAGGGAGACGGAAGTCAGTCTTTTAGGGCATAATTCAGAAGTGACATTGCACCACTTTGCCATAGCCTGTTTGTTAGAAGCAAGTCCACAGGGTCTGCCCACACTCACAGGGCGAGAGTGACACAAGGGCATGAGCGGCAGGAAGTGAGGCTCTTTGGGAGCCATTTTAGAAGGCTGCAGACTCCTGTCCTCAGCAAGACAGTTGCAGATCATATTTAGCATTAGGGAGGAGATAAAACGAAGGGTAGGCAGAGCGTCTGGGAGTGTTGGGGGAGGTGCTCCCGAATGAGTGGCCAGGGAGGACCCTCTGAGGAGGTAACAGGTAAGCAGAGACCTAAATGACAAGACAGAGCCCATCTGGGAATAGCCAGGCCTTCCACAAAGTGGGAACAGGAAGTGCAAAGTGGGAGAGTGAGCTCTGCACGTCTGAGGCAGAGAATGGAGGCTAATAACATGGAACACAGTGACCAAGAGGGGAGTGGGTGCCTGCCGAGGTGAGAACCTACAAATCCTATGAAGTAGATGTTTTCTGTATTTTGAAATAATGAGCGACCTCCCTAAGATGACACAGCTTAGAAGTGATGTAGCACTTACAAGCACTTACGAGCATCCATGTTTTTGCCACACCAGTACTTTGTAGTTCATTGTAGCATCCACTAGAAGGAAGGGATATTGGGTCATCAGCCACCCCAATGGCCCAAGACTGAGGAAATGACTAGGAGGTAAGACTTTCAGGGCTGAAACCAGGATTGTCCTGAAGAAACCGGGATAGTTCATCACCTGGACGTGGAAACATGACCACCGTGCTCTCTGATGTGATATTAAACCCAGGCTGAGCCAGCAGCCAGGAGTCAGCCAGGTGAAGATTGGCTATTGAGATACTACATCTTACAATGCTGAAAAGTAGTAATAATTATAAGCATAAAAATAATGAGTGATTTTAGTTTACAGATTACTTTTCACTTCTGCCACCTAATTTACTCTTTTAATAACCCCTTAAAAAGTTAACACTCCCAGGAGACCGAGGCCCAGAAACACTGAATGGCACATTTGAGACCACCCCACCCATAAGGGTGGGGCCACAATTTCCTGTGGCTTTTCATTCTACTACCCTTGCTAAAAATATCTATTTGTGCAGTCCTTCACCCGTTGAAGGTATGGACACTCTTAGAAAAGAGTAAATGGTTATTCAAGCTCTCACCCTGGAGACATGCAAATGTCACACAATAGATATGAAAGTCAGCCAATAGAACATGGGCTGTGGGTTTAGATGTCTAGAGTTCAAATACTCACTATGCTTCTTACAAGCTTCTCTAATCTCTCTGAGCCTCAGGTTGCCCATTTGCAAAATGGGGCTCATAATATTTTCACAGATATGTTAAGAGACTTCTGCTTCCTCTGTCATGCTGTTCATGTTGTCCCTCTTGGGATTACTTGCTCAGTTTATCTCTTCCCCAGAAGCCTGAGTTTCTTGAGGGCAGAGACCATGGCTGTTGTGCTGTCCACCCCAGCAACTCACACCATGCCCACAAAAGGACATGCTGAGTAAACATTTGTCGATTGAAAGTATATGTCTAACACCTAGTAGGTGTTGATAGTTATTGCTCCTTTCCCATCCTCCTTTCTCGACCATACCTTTCTAACTGGCTTTCTGAACAGATGGCTGTGAGCCAAGCATGGGGCAGCCTCAATACCATAGAAAATTCAGGTCCTCCACAGCAGTCACTTTCACTTCCTAAAACTGTGATTTCTGTGAAACGTTATTATGCAAGAACAGAATTTGAATGTAGTCACTCACCAGACAGCCTGAGTAAGACATAGTCACCCCGTACCAGTTCTTGGCATAGCCGAGTTGACAAATTTTCTGAGGTTTAAAACAGAACAGCTTCTGTGTTTCTTTGAGTGCCAGGAAAAACTTTCTCAGCAAAATTGTCCTTCATTCTTGGAAAAGGGAGCAATGTCTCTTTCTTTCCCAAAGCCAAGCCCCACGTCTCTCTCTCTCCTCTGCAAAGAATGAATGACAAGTTACTGTTAGGCCCGAAGTTTCCACTAAGAGGGTTTCTCCACACCTCCTTTCTCTGCCCCCTCCTCTTGCCTGGACTCTATTCTCTGTTTCTGAGGGGATCCCCGTTTCCAAATACTTTTCCTTCACTGTCCCAAATGAACCCGCGTAAGTCAATACCCTCTGCTACAAAATTGCACTTCCGCCTACGCCATCAACACTCATTTTCTGAGACAAACTGAGCGCATCTAGTTGGTAAGAAGGAAATAATATTCATATTAAAGTTGAAAGGCCAATGATATTTTCCTTAGTGTACAGCAGGTGCTTGAACAATGCTGTTTTGTTTAATGTTGTTTCATTATAATGTTGATGAGAAAAAAAAGGGATTCCCGGCTGGGGTCACTGTGTGGAGTGTGCACGCTGGCGGGGGAGGGGGAGGTTCCTGCCTTGCGCCCTGAGCGCCAGGATGGGCTCCCACCACCCACGACCTTGAACTGGGAAAAGCAGGTTGGAAAATAATTATCTTATTTGTTTTTATTAATCTCTCTGAAATGTATGTATAGCTCACATTTATTTCAAGGTTAATATTAGAAGTGTTTTTGGTTCTTAGAAGTTTGGGGATGTTTTTGTGACTAGAAATATACTGTAGGAACTTAACTCTTGTTTATAGCAATTAGCCTGTGGAAAAACCGGTTTTGTTGTATGTCATTTCACGTAAAGTCGCAGTTTCCAAGAATCTATTGATGTGGAGTGAGGACTTAGTGTACTTGCCTTTTATCAAAGAGGCTTATTAATCCAAGTAAACACTTTCTATGGCACAATTTCTATAGAGAATTTTTGGCCAGTTAGTTTTTTCTAGGTCCCTCAAGAAATAATTCTTCCTTCATAATGTCTGTCTCTTCAAGAGCAAAATGATGGGGAAGGTCGGGATTTTATATTTGGTCTACATCTCTTCAGCCATTGGGTGTCAATGCCCTCAGTGGGCCTGAGACAAGACAAGTTTGGGATCTGATTATTTGAGTGGCAATCATAATCTGGTAATTTTCCTGGCAAATGCTTTACGATTGGAAACAAATGCTTTTTAGGAAAGAATGGGGAAAAAAATCTACCCAGATGTCCACATCCATTTACATTGTTTAATTTTCTCTCCAAATTTTTATTCTTTGTCAACATAGCTCTAAAGCTCTGCAATTTCATGTGTCTGAAAGTTCTTCTGTCAACTGACCTAAAATTCCCCTTTCTCTTCTCATTTGCCCCATCATTATGTACTTTTGTCAACTTACTATTATTATCGACATGCCTATAGTTTGCATATATATTGACAGGCAGTTTGATTTCTCTGTTATTTCTCTAAAATGAATACGTGTATTCATTTGACTCCACTTACACACCAAGGCATATCTAGCATGTATAAATGTCAGGCAGTGTTCGTGCTTTGCACATGGCACCTTACTTAATTTTTACAACTACTCTATTAAACTCATTTTACAAAGAGTATAATTTGGTCAGGAGCATCCAGTTAGCAAGAGGGTCCAAAAACTCTCTCCGTAACCATTGTACCACACTGCCTCTCTATTTCAACTTTATGTCGTCAGAAATGTTTTTGAATCACTTTTTTGAAACATTGCTCTCACGACAAACAGGTTGCAGCATCCTAACTTTCTAAAAGCCAATCTGGATCATTTGACAAATGAACAGTTGAGGCAAGACTAGACCCTGTTATACCCCTAGCGTGCTCGCAGGTGGCGAGGTGATGTCCCTGCTGTTCCCTAGTTACCTGGCGATGCCGTAGCTCACCTTAACAGAGTCTGGGGAGTTGGGGGTCACGGCCACTTGAATGAGGAAATAGAAGCATGACTGTGAACAGAGCAAGTCACTGTGCGATATTCCTTTTCCTCAGGAAAATGTTCTCATTCTTTTCATCCTGACCCATCAACAATTTGATTAGCCTGGCCGGTCCCACAGCAAACTAGAGATGGAAGTAGGTGCCCATAGCTTAAATCCTAGGGCCTTTCTTTAAAATAATGGCTAATACTTAGCAGTTACCAGATTCTGGGCACTGTACTTTGGATAAGAATTATCATCCCCATGTAACAGATGTGAAAACTGAGTCTTGTGATCTGCTCAGGCATAAATCTAGCATTTGGAAGAGACAAGTTTTGAACAAAGTCTCTCTGACTGCAAAACACTTGCCCTTATGACCATGCTTCATTGTTCCCATAGTGACACAGAGGATGGGTGTGACTGGGTTGTGCCGAGCTCTCGAAATCAGTCAGCTCAGCTTTGAATCTGTGGTGCACGGGCCACCGCTGATGTCTGACCTGCGTCAATACAGAAGTTGATTTATGGCAGGATTCATAGTGATTCCCGTAGAGCTAGCAAAGCATATGTTTAAGAACCTATTATTTTTGTGTGTATGCAAGACATAAGTTAAAAGCTGCAATGCGCCAGGAATGAAAATGATAATGATAGTAATAGCTAACAATGATTGAACTCTTTCTGTATGTCAAGCATTCTGTTAGACATAGGCTATGCATAACTTCAAGTAAACAGGAAGGAAAATCAGCTGGTATTTGAGATTGTCCCATACTTGAACTATTACTCAATCATCATTTAACTTCCTTCTTGGACTTAAAATAGTAACATTTCAGGCAAGGTTGTTTTTGCTTAAGATTCTCATATGAGGCAATCATACTTGAATCATGCATTGCATTTTTGGCAACATTTGTATTAAAAAGCCTCATAGCAAAGTTGGTACACATACACATATAAACACACATACTGTGAATAATTCAGCTTTTCCATTATTTAAGTGTTTGGCCACGTTGTCATTGAATAACAAGTCTAGTGAGATTATGAAGCTTGGGAAGTTGTCTCGAGATCTAGCAAAGTGCAGGGCATGGAGGTTTTGAAATCAGATCGAGACTCCGATTACTTGGAGTCTCCTTACTTGGCAAGGTCCCGAACCCTTCTATGCTTCCTTGAATTTAAAACGCAGACAAAACCTGCCTCCTAGACTTCTTATAGTATTAAATAAACACATGTAAAACAATGAGACCTTAGCACAAGATGGTGTCTCAGCAGAAGTAATTACCTCCCACTCTGGAATCTATGTGCCAAACTTGACAGTGTTCATTAACTTTTCTTCAAGCTCTAGTCAGTGCCCCATTTTATAGTTCTTTATTTCCAGATTTCTTGATCTATTTGTTTATTCAAAAGTTTTTAACTGAATACCTTCTACATACAAATTATTGGGTATGCATTGAGGATACAATGGTGAACTAAACCAAACCATTCCTTTTTATGGCCTAGTGAGAGAGACATGCATTAATCACAGAAGTGGGATGATATAGTTACAAACTAAGCTAAATTCTATGAAGGAAAAGAACAAATATCTAGGCTGAAGAGTAAGGGAAGCGAAGGTGAGTAGAGACCTGAAGGAGAAGTGAGCAGAGACCTGAAGGAGAAGTGAGCGTGTCTACAGCAGGGGGTGATGATGCTGGTGGAGGGGGCGGTGGTAACAGAGCAGCGATGGACGTGGTGCCGATGGAGTTGATGCTGATGGTGGAGGGGAGGTGGTGGTGATAACAGAGATGACGCAGGTAGCGGAGGTGCTGGTGACGATGGAGGGAATGGTGGTAGAGGCTGGCATGGACAACAGCGGCAACGGCACATGCAGAGGATGTGTGGTGGGTTGGAACTCTGTCTGAACACTTGAAGGTACAATGTGGCTGGCACACAGACAGTGAGGGGGCAAAGGGGAGAAAGTAGAAGCTGAAGAAGCAGCACACCGCAGACCCTGTGGAAGCTTGTAGGCTATGTTTTAAGTATTTGCATCCTAAATCTAAGAACAACTGGGAAGCAACGAAAGAATTTTAAACTTGGGGTGGGGTGAAACGATCTGATTTGCATTGTAGAAAGATCATTCTAGATATCCTCTGTCCAACAGGTAGCTACTAGCTACACATGGCTCCTGAACACTTGAAATGTTGCTGGTCTTAGTTGGGATGTGCTGTAAATATAAAATATACACTGGATTTCAAATACTAGTATGAAAAAAAGAATATGCAAATCTCATTTTTTATATTGATTACATTAAAATATTTTGAGTTAAATGAAATATAATGAAAATCAATTTTACCCGTTTGTTGCTAACCTTTTTAAATGTAGCTACTAGGAAATTTAAAATTATGGAAATAGTTTGCATTTGTGGCTCCCACTATGTTTTTATTAGACAGAGATGCTCTAGATGCAGTGTGATGAAGAAGCTACAAAGAAGGCAAAGCAGATGAGACCAATTAGGAGGCTACTTTTGTAGTCCAGGCAAGAGGTAAAGGTAGCTTGAACAAGGATGATGGCAGTGGGAATAAAAAGAATTGGATGGATTTGAGGTAAAATCAGCAGGACTAAGTGCTGTAGCATATGCACCTGATGAATGATGGTGCCACATGTTGAAATGAAGAAGAGGACCAGCCTTGGCAACAATATGATGAGCTAAGATTTGTACATGTTGAGCGGACGTGCCTCTGAGACACCCAAGTGGAAATCTGTCTCAAGCAGGCAGTTGCCAATCTAGGTCTGGGGCTTGGATGAGGTGGCTGGGCAGGGGACTTAAATCTGAACGGTATTGACCTATAAATGGGCACAAACAAGATTCTTCAAGAAGACCATAGCCAGTGAGGAGTGGCCTAGGATCTAGGCTTGGGAAACAAGGTAGGGAAGGATGAGTTTGAAAAGGAGAGTTGGAAAGGAAAACTAAGTATATGGGGAAAGGACTAGCAGGTCAGCGGATAGTGACGAACAGGAAGGCATGAGGTGACGTGGCATGATGTGAGCCCAGAGCCTCAGAGGAACTGGTTTCCTGCAAAAGATTTGTGAAGTAACAGTCAGTAATTCTCATACTTGATCAGGGAGTGGGGTTTCTGGATCTGATGATGCCCTTTCATGGAACACCATGAAACACTATGGAACAGGAGAGTGAATCCCATTATATAAACTGGGATACATCACAAATCTTCTCTTAGTAATCTAAGTGGGCTGGAACTGTTACATGGGAAATAATGTGTACACAGTCAGATCTGTACCAGTGATTGAAAGTGAAAAGGAGCCAAAGCTGGAGGAAGGGCGGAGGACACTGGCCTGACACATAGGAGCAGACTGGAAGATGCGCCAGGACTAACTCGGACTAGCGGAAGTGGTGACACAGGCAGCAGAAGAGGAAGAAGAGCAGTTAATATGGGGAAGGAGGAACAACT